TGCACTTTTAAAAATTTAAGTGTTATACATGTAAATATAAATATTAAATGGCTACATAGTTAAATAGATAAGAATTTATGTAAACTCCCCTGATTTTAATCATGCAAGCTCAAAAAGAGGCAATCTATTAATGAAATAACTATTGATAAACATTATATTTTGTTTGTGAGGTGATTTTTTGTTTGGTTAAATGTTTGCTGCAAATGTTATTTAATGTTTTCTTTTTCAATTTCCCTCGTACTAGTAAGTTGAGCAATGAATAAAAGCAAAGAAGTTGGATCATCGGCCATGTGGGACAGAGATGCCACCAATATTTTCTGTGATCTCTGTCTTAGGGAGGTTGAGCTGGGAAATAGACGGACCACATATTTTAACAAAGAAGATTGACAAAATGTTATGGTAAAATTCAAGGAATTGACAGGAATGGACTATGATAGAATGAAATTGAAGAACAAGTGGATCAATTAAAGAAGGACTGGAAGATCTAGAAAGAACTTAAGAGGGGAACTACAGGTCTGGTCTGGGATCCAATGAAACGGACAATAGATGCTCCTGATGATTGGTGGGCTGAGAAACTAGAGGTAATGACATATCTTTGATCACTTTTATTATTCATTTTTAGTTATATTGAGAGGGTTTAACTAATTCAAATTGTTATGTCATGCAGGTTGTGCCAGTAGCTAAGAAATTCAAATTCAATGGCATTGATCCAGTAATGGAAGAGAAGTTCGATAGCATGTTCAAGAGGGTCGTTGCAACAGGAGCTCATGCTTTTACCCCCATCTGAGCCTGACTTCATTGGCGCAGCAGATGTCCTGGAAACCAATCATGTAAGTGACTCAGGAGAAGTGCCCTGCGAAATACAAAGAAATGTGGAGTCTACATTCGTTCCAAAACGGACCAGTGTGGAGAAAAGGAAGAAAGGAGTCGCATTCATCAAGAGCACAATCGAAAAACTAGTTGAATTCTGCAGAGTTAAGTTTTCTGCTTCACATAAAATATCCGTCGAGGGGTGCCTTCAAATCCTAAACAAACATGTTGAGGTTAAGACGGACAAGAAACTATATATCAATTGTGTCAAGTTACTACAAGATCCAGTTCGTAGAGAATTTTTTGTGAAGTTGGATGCAGAATACCAACTCGATTTCTTACGCTCCTCGGAAAATTGAATGTTTTGAACTCTAGTCGTTATGTTTTCTCAGAAATATTTGTATTGTTGTGTCATGGATCGTTATTTTTTTTTCTAGCATGACTTATTTATCTGAACTTCTTATGATTAACAATGATGTGTTCATATCTTCTGTGTTTATATGTTTTATGGATGTGTTTAAATGGCTTAAGGTTATAATCATTCTCTTTTAACTAACTTTTGTATGATGGATCCAGAATAATTAAACTACGTTAGAAAGATTTTTCTTATTCTTAATTTGTTATACCACTACTACCTTACATGTATCGACCGAACCCCGTGTATGACGTCGAGCTATATTGGCGATAAATGGGTCGGTGAGTTACTATGAGGTCATCCGACACGCTTCGCCAACATGTTCTGAATGACAAGAGATTTTCATTGACCTGCTCTACGAATTCCAACACCAATATGGTTTGAATGATTCGACCAGAATGACATCCAGAGAGGTGTTAGCAATAACACTGTATATATTATCTCATAATGAGTCCATTAGAGGAGCCATAGAGCGATTTCAATATTCATCAGAGACTATCAGCAGGTATTTCTCGATTAGTTTGAATGCTCTAGTAAGTTTAGCCTCTAAGATAATTAAACCCGAGGGTCCCACATTCCAGTCCATTCCGACTCATATTGCAAATGACTCTCGCTACATGTCGTTCTTCTATTAAGCATGTAACTATTAAATTAAAATTTGTTATCTTTCAATTATTAATAGATTAAACATTATTAAATTTAGGACTGTATAGAAGTCATTGATGGAACTCAAGTCGATGCACGTGTATCCGGCACCAATAAGGTCGCCTACATTAGACGTTGTGGTTCCCCTACACAAGATGTGATGGTCGTTTGTGACTTCACCATATGTTTTACATTTGTGATGGTCGGATGGGAGGGCAGCGCACACGATAGCCGTGTTTTTAAATTTGCAACCAGACGTCGAAGAATTTGCTTCCCGTACCCCCCTCATGGTACGTAATTATAACAAATATGTTTGATATTTGTGAATCGTTTTTACATTATGTATTCGTGCAGGTAAATATTACCTGGTTGACGCTGGATATCACTTACAGAGGGGATATCTAAAGTCTTATGCTGACACAAAGTACCACATTCCCGACTTTGAAAGGTCAAGCAGAATTGCACGTGGTAGAAAAAAAAATATTCAATAAACGGCATTCCTTACGCAGTGTGATTGAAAGATCATTCGGGGTATGGAAAAAGTGGGTGATATTACGAGGCATGCCAAACTACCCCTTTCCCAAGCAAGTGCATATAGTTGTGGCAACCATGGCACTGCGCAACTACATCTAACGCCATCACGCTAGATCTAATGTGGACTTTGCTTCTGCAGAAGAAGACCTGCATCAGATTCCACCTGAAGCATATGAATTCCATGTGGGGCGTCTCATACCACAGAAAGAATCAAAGCACGCTCACAGTCGCGAAGGTGAAGGTGCAAGGGAGATGGTAGCATTGCGAGACCAGCTAGCAGACGAAATTGTTTGATCATAATTGTTGATTTGTTGTTATTTTGATATTTCAGAACTATCATGTATACATTTGTAAGAATATTTTTTTTTTGGGTCACTGAAGATCTGCTCACTTTTCCATGTAATAGCGATAGAGCAGCTTGGAAGGTTTATGGATTTGAGGGTAAACTCTACTTTTAAGAGCTTTATATATTTTTACGTTTGAATCTGTTGAGGATATATGTAAGAAATGGTACTTTGTGAGTCATACTGCTGTTATGTGGAAATACATAGACTTCTTATATTGTTGCATGTTGTAATTTGCTTCATTTACGATTATGAAGGTTTGAGAGGCTTGATGGTGCTTTATAGTGTAGCTTTGTTGTGCACCAGGCCAATACGAGGATCTGTGTGCTTTTTTGGTGTTTCCATTGTCACAGGGTTTGATGCATAGTGATATGTGAAAAGCTTCCCTATTATCATCTATACATAGTTTCATCAAAATCTATATTGTTAGAAACGGCCTTGAAAAGTTGAGGGTTTATTTATTGAACGCCATTCGGATTCTTGCTGAAAGTCATAGTGTTGCTCAATGATTCAATTTTATCTTCCTTACAATGTTCATGCGTGGGTGCAGACTAATGATATTATGATAATTTTACCAACTTTTCTATAAGTTGATTTCTCCACCAATGCTTTACAGCCATCTTTATAAAAATATGCAGCCACGCTGAATATTCCCTCATGTTGTTTGCTGTGGAGTTAAATTTTTGATGATTTTGTGTTGTTTGCTGCATTAGATTTCATGGGGCAGAGCTATGGATGGCTGCCTTCCTATCTATGACGTTACCTGCATCAAAAAGGGATATTTTGTTTACCACTTTCTGCAATCAGCCGCATTCTTCATTATTGATTTTGATTACATTGGCACAACCGTTAAAAACTGTTGATGAATGCGATTCAGTTCTTCATCTCTGCTCAGCATTGTTTTTTCATTCTTAGATGCAGCATTTTTATTGTTATTATCATTTTTTGCCTGATGTGAAGAAATAAGGAGCTGATTATTTTTATTTTATTTAGAGAAAAAGTGCAGTATAAATGGATCCTTCTCTGATTTCCAATTGGCTTGCAACAATTAAATGGAATGTATTCTTGAAGCTGTAGTTAATAGTTCCATCAGCACTATGATTGAAATTTAATAAATTTTTACATTTATGCTGCACGAGAATGACTTGCTTTTTATATCAAGTGTTGTTTAGTTTTGTTATGTAATATATATATATAAATCGTGGTGTGGGTCATGCCGTCGTTTATATATTTGAAGGCTCAAATATAATTAGATGTGGATTCAGCTTCCGCTGAATTGTAAGTACAATAATTATCACTCATTTTCATTTGTATCATGCATCTGTAAGTTTTTAAAATTTACAAATAAACCCATTCGACGTAAAATTATCATAACTTGATCATTTAAACTCCAAATCATACTATATTTTTACCAATTGAGTATCTTCACAAATAGAAGACTAAATCTAAAATCGATCAATTTTGAATAAAAAAAATTAATTAAATAATACTAAAAATTCATAGAAAATTCATTTTGCAGGGTGGTGTAGTAAAAGTCGGGTGTCGTAGTAAGTGTAGATTTTTATTTTCTTGTTGAGCCTATTATAAAAGTAAAGTTCACCTTGATAAAGTTTGCCTTAGTGATTGCAGTTTTGTTGAGAATATTACAACTTTTGCGTGTCAAATTGTTCATTTAACTAAAAAAATCTGCAAATCAGTTGTTTACAAAACGCACAAACCAAACAGCTAAATAGCTTAACCAAAACAGGAGCAGAATGATCATTTATCTAGAATCAGTTGTTTTCCAAACGCGCAAACCAAACAGTCAGACAGCTTATCCGGATCAGCTCTTATCAGCAGCTATCAGGATAAGCTGCAGCTGCCCCAAACGGACCCTTAGTGGGATAAAAGCTTGTTGTTGTTGTTATAGTGATAACATAAATTTAAAGATGTCAAGTAATATAGAACCTTGTGATGGTAATATGCTCGAATAATAAAACACAATTTAACATCGTTCTTATCATTAGAGCATACAGAAGCATGAGGAAAAGTCTTTCCTAACTACATGGTACTATCTTCTAGGTTTGTTGATATTGATAATAGCAAAAAAGGCTGTAACATTTATCAAAAATAAACGACATAAAAAAATGAAAATTTTAAACAAGGTTTTAAATAAAATCTCTACGTACAAGAGAGATGCACGCACATATTCAACATCAAAAAAATAAATAAAATTAATGAAGTTAAAAACCACAAATAAAAATTTATTAAACCTGACAAGTCCTTGCTCGGCAACATAAACACCTTTTCCATGGGCACAGTCATCCCAAACAGTTCCTTCATACCTTCAAAAAAAAAAAAAAAAAAAAAAAAAGGGGAGAAAATGCCCAATCATACCAAGCCCGCGCTCCCAATCATACCAAGCACGAGATATCAACTGAATTTTTTCCAATTTGAATCACAAAAAATTAAATAAAATAACTTTTTCCCTATAAAATAAGTGCACGCTACTGGCACACACAAAGGGGAACCAAATCATGGTGTCACAAGGGATTAGGAAGGAATTGGGAATCAATAAACTATTGACTAATGTACAAATAAATAACAAACAAGTTGACAACACAAAATTTCAAGTTCACATGTAAATTAAGGATAAATGGGTTTACAAACAATCTAAAATGTAATTAAAAACAAGCACAATATGCCCAGCTTGTTGCATTATAGAGATAATAAAAGCATCATGGACGATCCACTAGAAAAAACAGTGCAGATTTTCTGAAAAGTGGCTCAATTAAAAAGGTCCCAAAGAAAATTTATTTTGCTACTTTAAACCTTGGTTATGAGAGCAATAAATTTGTGCTCGCATGGGGATTCAGTATCGCCCAAGGCTATCTAACTCTAAACAACTAGGGCTAAGGCTGATGATATTCTAGGGACAGACTATCTCTGGATGCGCCAAGTTTTCTGTTCAATTTCATACTCATGTAACTGCATGTGTTTGCACTGGTACATTAGAAAACCCAATTTCCAGCTCTCAGCAAGTACATGGAGAGACCAAATTGATCTTAGGATCTTGTATCTATTGTAGTGCCAGTTCCCACCACAGCAACTAGATAAAAGAAGCAAAAGTTTAACAGAATAAAGATTCAGCAATAAATGCACTTTGATTTTCACGCACATATCTAAGTCAAAGCATGTTTATAGTTCATGGTGAAGTGCTTCACCAGTGTAAGGTTCACTTATCAACAAAGCTTTCTGAGGTTGACAGGTTGTTAATGGTGTTGATTTCAAGTATCGCATAGGATTTTTGAGGTTGTGCCATGCACAACTTAGGGAATCTGGAAGTTTGGGGGCTTAAGATGAAGAGTAGAAGGTAAGATTCATTTTCAGTTATTGTAACAACATAAAAATGAAGGAGAGCTATCAGGATTCAACCTGAGTTTGCGAGCACATGCATTTTTTTTACTAGACTCCAAAAGATTCAGCTGTAATAGAAGATACTGAATGTGCATAGGACTTGTTATTTATAACCACAGCTAGCACTGCCTCATCATATGGCACACTACTGGTGGCTTCTCCAATGTGGATGGACTCCTCTCCTTTCTCCTACGGCCTATTTGAGTTGTTTAGTTATTTGATTTATATATTCATGCATAGTTAAATCCGCAATGCTTCTACATTTATTACCCTTGGTTCTAGCACATGTATCCCCAAGAATACTAGAAACTACTAAAAACTTAGCTCTTAAAATTGACAATATTGATTAAATGACAAAGAAAAAAAAGAGTTTTTTTTTAACTTGAAAACTCCATCCGATGTAACTTATACTTCATCCTATTATTCTATCATTCTATTACTCTAAATTGAAACTTTGTGACTATGGTGAAAGGATTTCATTAATTACTCACTGCACTCATTGATACTATTGTTATCTCAAATCACAATAGAAAAAGTAAATATTATTACTGAAAGCAAATAGGCAGTTACAACTAACTCACTTGAAAGAGAAAATTACAAAAACACAACACTCGAAAATCTGAAACAGCAATAGACAAGACACAATACTCAACTGGAGGGTAGATTTAGGGGTGGTGGCGATGGTCGGCGAGGGTTTGGAAGGTGTTGCGGGTGAAAAAAGAATGATTGGAAAGCAAAAAAAACTGCAAGACAGTTATGTCTCTACTGTCAGACAGCAAGCAAACAGCAGAAAGTGATGTGGGGGGCTGTTTGGGGTGATCGCAGCAAAGAAGAGGGGCTGGACATCAATGAAATGGCTGGAAAGTTCAGTCCTGGCTTGAGGGCAGCAAGGGAGGATGATGGGGGCAGCGACGAGGAGTTGCAGCAATGGCAGCAAGCTAGAACGAGAGGAAATGGATGGTCGGGCAGCTGTAACAGCAGAAAACAGCCAGAAACAGTTATTTCCGTGGGGCGGCTATGGGCGGGAATGACAACGGCGGCTGCGGGAAATGAGTGGGACTTTAAGAGGGCCAGAGGAGGGCAGTTCCAGGGATGAAGCAGCGAGGATGATGGCTGGACGGCGAGGAACTACAAGAAGAACAGCAACAGAGATTGTTTGGGGGCGGCTGCAGCAATGAAGGGAGGTCGGGAGCGACGTGGAGAGAATGTTGAAGGGGATAGGGAAGATAATCATCACCTAGAGAGAGAGTGATATAACCAGAACACCACTCAATCCCTCGGATGCATCCCTCAAAGGAAAAAACAAACGTTGGCGGCTATATGAAACAAAACACACAAAAAAACTAAGTCTAACAACCCACAAAAGCAAATTTATAATAAGAGGATAACTATGAGTGGGCCAAGGAACCGGTTGGAACTCCCAAAATACGGACAGACCTAGGTTGATTCGATCCAAGAGGACAGAGGGATCATGGGAAATCCTACGTGCGAGAGTCACCCGCGCCGATCCGGTGGGTCGCGAGAAAACTTGCATGAGAGAGACGCCCGTACAAGTCTCCTGAGATTGGGGAAGCTTCCATCTCGTCTATCGAAGTTTTTGCTTCCTCAAAATTGTCAAGTCAGCCCCGTTGAAAGTAGCGAAAATGCTGCAAGCACTTGGTGCGTCAACCTTGTAAGTGCTCTTAACCCAATACACATCCTGATAAGATAAGTATTCATACACTATTACCGCACCTTGAGTTGGAATTGCATAACGTAGATTCTCACAAATCAAATCCCTAGCAAGTGAATCTACATTCTGCTTCTCCCGCTCCTTGTACTCGGTTGAATGTGTCTAATAAATAAGTTTGTAAGAAGGAATCAACTCTGGGACAAAAACTAAGACAGGTTGAGCTATACTAAAAGTAATCACTCATAAGAGGCATCTTCTTCTTCTTGGAAAAACCAAGATCCCACTTTAGGATGCTCTTTCATACAAGCTCCTAAGTCAATTTCTAATTTTGTGGTTCATCCACCCTGCCAGATCAACGGTCGGTGGTATACTATTGAGCTAAATTTAATACCCCAAAGCTCCCTATGGGCTTCCAAAAGTGATAAAAAAGAGTTTCATAACATACTGAACCTATGTTGGCAGAGACAACTCAAGAAGTAGTCTATATAACTAAAAAGTTTAAATTTTTCTTATATGAGGTTGACCTACGTCTGATATAGGCTGCTCAAACTAATGGCCCTTTTGGATATCCAATATCAGCCCTGCTAATGCTCCTTTCAGCGCTTGCAAAACAGTAGTTGGAGGTACCACAATTTAATGCTCTGTCTGAACACTTGTTACCTTGGATTCACCACCTTCTAGAACAACTCCAGTCAACTCAACAAGAGTCTCTCTCCTATATTCAATTGAAATCATTGACGTCTCTTTCTCCTCGGCTTTAATTTGAGAATCCTTTTTAAAATCATCGTCTTCTCTGGGATTACTACTTATTTCTTCAGCTGCTCCTTGATCCGTGAAGTGATAATTCTCTTGGTTGTGCAATATAATTCAGTACGCCCAAATCTATGGCACTCGAAAAACTTTCTGGTAGAAACAAATTTAGAAATACTGTTTGTTCGACCTGTTCTCTACTCTGAATCATTTTCTCCTCAGGCAGGGTCAACTTGAATGTTTTGCTAGGTGTACTATGGTTGTAAGGTCATGGGGTTGAACCTTGCCTGTAAAATGTGATGGTCATCTGGTGATGTGCACTCTCCGATTTTAAACCTGAGATCTGAACATCTGATATGTAGTGAGTTGATAGGTATTGGTATTGCATCTCCCATTCATACTTTTACCTCATACTGTAATATCCTCGGGTTGAACCTTGTCTGTAAGCTGGGGTGCATTTCTCGCTGGATATGTAAATAAATAAGAATTAAGTTCCATGTATGTAAATCATATTATTCATGCTATTCTTTGAAAACATATCACATATTATCTCCAAAATGCCTTTCAAAATGATGAGGTTCTTTTTATTTTTGTAAGCATCATGATCTATATCTTTCCCTCAGTTTTCCTAAGAGAAGCTACTGGCTCAAATCCCTGTTTGCACTTGTTTAGTAAACAAGATTTTCAAATAAAAATTGCATTTATTCCTGGAATTCTTGCACATGACAGGATGTTGTTTGGAAGCATTTGGAACGGTTTAAATTGTGGTACAGCGTTTGGAATTAAGGAAATTTCAACTAACGGCTGCTTTTAGGGAAAGCAATGAAAAATTAACCAGTTTTTTATCACGAAAAGCTAGTTTCTCCTATGTCCAATATCATATTTGGAGATATGCTAACCTGTAACAACAAAGGTTCTGCCACAAAACATTGCATACAGAGTAACAAGCAAAGGTATGCTCTTACAAAACTTCTACCATAACTTCTAGCTATAATGTTAGCAATGGAAGGAGTCACATCAAGATACGACTATCCCCAATGAAATAAAAGCTTAAATGTTTCACATCTTACGTGCTTCCATCGGCAAACACAAAGCTGGCCCACTTGAGAAACTCCTCAATCCTATCAAGCTCCTCGATCACGGACTTCGGATTAGAGATATCGTGGTGGTTGTCAGGAATCACTGGGAAAGGCTTGCGATAAGGAACGTAGAACGGTGCAATGACCGGATTCCTCCCCTCCTTACTCGCCTGATTGATGGCCTCCCAATCGTCTTCCTCCGCCCAAACAGGATCCCAGCCGGTCTTCGCAATCCCCCTGGGGGCGTCGGCCCAAAGCTCCCTAAGATCCTCCTCCCTCCAATTCTCAGGGTCCCTAGGGAAATTGAACAACTCCTCGGGCTCGCGGTAACTATTCTCCTCCTCCTCCTCCAGCTTCTTGTTGGTGCTGTTATCAAGAGCCTCGGAGAATCGCCGGAAGTTATTCTCCGGTGAGTTATCCTTTTCATCGGACGACGAGTATTCATCATCGTATTCTCCCTCGTCATCGTACTCAGAATCGTACTCCGACTCGGAGGACGACGACGAAGAAGAAGCCTCGTCTTCTGCGTCCTTCTCCTCTTCTGCGTCCTTATCATCCATTGCTTTACGGCCTTCTTCTCGATCATCCGACATTTCCTGAGAGCGGAGCGAAGACTGAGAGCAAATGCGTTACTTTAGAGGCAGTGTGGGAGAAGATAAGATGCTCAATAAAAACGGACGGAAATATAGGGAAGAGGGATAGGGTTTAGAAATAAGAACTCTTCACAGTCTAAACTAGTTTCATAAATTTAAGTATTTAATTTGTGGTGGAAAACGATTCGATGGAGAATGCAGCAGTTAGACCTATCCTTGTTTCTGGTCCAATATCATTAGGCTTTTGAGGAGAAAATAGTATATCAAGAGTTCTTATGTAGTTTCATGTGCATATGATAATATTTAGATGTTATTACTATATTGTGGTGTTATTTGGTAAAATAACACTATAATGTTGGGTAATACGGAGACTCGGTTCACCGAATTTAATTAGTTTCTTAATTAAGTATATC